TGATCGACCAATAGAAACCAACTTCTATGGGCATGAAATTCTGAACACTTCTTTTGTATTATAATCTTATAATGAAATAATTAATACTCCCTCCGTCCCTAAATTATCTTCAAACTTTCCTTTTTCGTCCGTCCCAAAATTATCTCCTCTTCTCCCTTTTAGCAAAAAAATTGTGATTCACAACCATTCTTACACATTCTTACACATTTCTCTCTCCTCTGCACAACTCTCCATCACACAAATCTCACTATCTTAATAAATGTGCCCAGCCAAAAAGAGAGAAAGATTAGGAACGGAGGGAGTAGTTATACAACATATGGGGAGAGAAAGATAAGACATTAAAATATAGTCAGTTACTTCAAGCAATAGAATATCTCATTTCTAGAAAGAATAAACACATGCTATTTGGTATTAGTACCAAATCACGTCTAACATACAATTGTGAATTTTTTCTCAATCAGGGTTGTGAATGTTAAAACCCCAAGATTGCAAACTAATTCTTCAAAAAGATTCTAGGTAGAGCTTTCTTAAGAAGGCTCAATTCAGTCCCTGAACTAAAAAAGGTTCAATTCGCATTCCGAACCGGGAAAAAAGAGTTCAAATTTCTTTTTTTACGGGTAAACAACCGGTAAAATAGGTCCAATTCGCACCTTTAAACTACTAAAAGTGTCAAAATCGCAATAAATCGAAAATAAAAAACAAAAACAATAAAAAAATTAAAAAATGACCGGTTGTTTACCCGTAACAAATGAAATTTGAACTCATTTTTGTCGGTTCGGGTGTGAATTGAACCTTTTTTAGTTCAGGGACTAAATTGAGCTTACACGGCCGGTACATGTAGGGGTGATTCGGTATGGTATACCGAATATTTTCTCTCATACCTTTACCGTACCAAAACTTTCGGTATGCAAAATTTATATACCGTTACCTTACCGAAGTTTCGGTATACCGCATTTCGGTATACCGAAGTTTCGGTTCGGTAACGGTATGGTATCGGTAAATTACCATGCATGTCTCCCAATACAACAAATTATCATAGACTAACGAAATATGCTAAATCGGTGTTACTAGTGACATATTTATTTCATTATTAAAATTTTACAAATATAATTAATAATCTATTGATGCCATACTCAATATTGAACAATAATTATTGTTAGTATATTTAAGCAGTTCAACATGCCACGTATTAAAAAACAACACATTCTCCTAAAATAACTTGAACGATATAGATATAATTAAATCAATAGTGATCTCTAACAATAATAAATAAAATTATTCAAACAACATGGATATAAAATCATTTATTCCTAATACTACCTCTGTCCCAAAATGTTGAGCCAAATCTCAAAATTTGGACCATGGTTTTGATTAGTACTGGTATAATATTATGAAAGTTATAAATTTTATACTTTTATGAAAGTACTTTTAACAAAGAACATTTTCATATAATTTTTATATTATAAATAATTTCCAATAAATATATATTAATCAACAAAGTTTTGGATTTGAATAATCATTTTGGGATGGAGGTAGTATGATATTGTGCATTTAGTCATTTTTATATTTTTTTTTAAAACAATGAATAAGACTTTCGGACAAAGTTGTGTGCCTCAACTCGTGGAATCTCTATGTAGATACACTTGTCACATAAGTGTACCTCTCTCCACTCATCAGCTACTCAGTGACTCAGTCATCGCGAATCGCAAGCTCTTGGAACAAGATGAACTTGTTTTTGGACATTAGTACATTACTAATTAGTCATTGGAGATTTGTAACCAATGTAAGTATTAATTTTGGGTTTCATAATTGTAATGGAGTTTTACAATACTCTAGAATTAAAAGTAATGATTGTTGGGTAGGGGGTCAGTATGGTATTATACCGGTATACCGTGGTATTTGAAAACATTTACCGTTACCGTACCGAAATAAATCGGTACGGTATGATACCGTACCGAACCGAAAATGACGGTATACCAATATTCCGGTATTTTTCGGTATTTTTCGGTACGATAAGTGCGGTATACTGATTTTCCGGTATTTTTGCCCACCCCTAGCGACGAGTGATGGGACAAGATGCCCAATCGGCATTACAATAGGCATTGAGATGTAAAGAAGAGAGGGATGCTAGAAGAATGCCACGATCAGGGGCTGCTTTAAAGTAGCGAATCGTGCGTATGGCGGCATCCCATTGAGGTTGGCGAGGAGATGACATGAATTGAGAGAGTTGGTTCACAACAAATGTAATATCGGGGCGCGTGACTGTAAGGTATAGAAGGCGACCGACTAGGCGACGATAGCGAGATGGATCATCGAGCAATGGACCAGTGTCACTAGTGAGCCGGGTCGCAGGATCCATGGCTGTTTCGGCGGGCTTGCAAGCAAGAAGGCCTACATCATGAAGGATTTCCAAGGCATATTTGCGCTGATTGAGGAATATACCAAACTTATTGCGAGCAACTTCAATGCCTAAAAAGTATTTGAGTGGGCCGGGATCTTTGAGATGAAATTGTTGGGTTAAGTAATGTTTCACAAAGGGAATGACTAAATCATCGTCTCCTGTAATAACAATATCATCTACATACACAAGTAAAATGGTTAAACGTAACTTACGTTTGTAAATAAACATAGAATAGTCAGCCTTAGACTGAGTGAAGCCAACACGTAAAAGGGAATGGGAGAATGTAGCAAACCATGTGCGAGAGGCTTGTTTGAGCCCATAGATAGATTTGTGAAGACGGCAAACACGATGCTCCCCCTTTCGGTGAAAACCAGGGGGGTTGCATGTAAACTTCTTCATGGAGCTTGCCATGAAGAAATGCGTTAGAAACGTCAAGCTAATGAGTTTGCCATCCTTTGGTTGCCGCAAGGCTTAAGACTCTGCGAACTGTTGTGACTTGTGAGCTTGGTGACCAGAGCAAAAACATCATTATAATCACAGCCTTCTAATTGGGAGTATCCCTTGGTGACGAGAGAGCTTTGTAGCGCTCGACGGTGCCATCAGGTTTATATTTGATGCGATACACCCACTTGCATCCGATAGCATGCTTCCCATGAAGGAGCGGATGAAGAGACCAAGTGTGGTTAGCCTCTAGAGGAGAAATTTCATCCTTCAAGGCTTGCATCCAACGTGGATCTTTGCTGGCAGCAGTGAAAGAACTAGGCTCCACATGTTGTACAATATTATTTATGTAATGAGTGTGTCCTATAGAATAAGAGCTGGAAGAAATAAAATTAGTTAGTTGGTATGGAGGAGAAATGGTGGAGGCCGTGTGGCATAGGTAGTCAGACAGGTAGGCTGGTGGTTTCACTGGTTCGGAAGTACGTGTGGAGCGGCGGGTTGGAGCAGGGACAATGGGAAAAAGTGATGGTTGGTTGGATAGAGTTGTGGGTATCGGTGAAGGATTAGTTGGAGAGGGAGATGGTTGAGCGGTTGCAATAGGTGGAGAATTGGATGGGGATGTGGGAGTGGGGCCAGATGAGGTGGGGGTGGAGGTGGGGAAGGTTCGGCCATGGAAGGGGTTACAAATGATGCATCATCATGGTCGGGGATGGGAAGTGGTACACGGAGAGGTGGGAGATTAGGTTCTGGCAAGATAAAATTGTTTTTGAAGGGAAAGATGTTTTCATGAAAGATAACATCCTCACTAACAAAGCACTGATTAGTCTCAAAATCATAAAGGCGATAAGCTTTTTGACCTTTTGGGTATCCCAAAAAATACACTTTCTAGCCTGGGGTTCAAATTTATGAAGCTTGTGATAGTCGGAAGAAGAAAAACATAAACAACCAAAAGTACTTAAAAAACTAAAATCGGGAGCAGAACGATGAAAAACCTCAAAAGGAGTTTTGTTTTGTAAAATAGGGGATGGGGTTCGATTGATAAGATAGGTGGAAGTGAGAACACAATCTCCCCAAAAGGGGAGAGGAAGACCAGCCTGGAAGCGTAAAGCACGTGCCACATTAAGAAGGTGGCGATGCTTTCGCTCTACGACCCCATTCTGTTGTGGGGTGCCGGGGCAGCTGGTTTGGTGGAGAATGCCATGTTCAAGTAAAATCTTTTGAAAGATGGTGTTGGTAAATTCAGTGCCATTGTCGGAATGTATAGTTCGAACACACGTATTAAACTGATTTTTAACATAGGCTAAAACTGAATAATTAAAGGGAAAAGATCAGTTTTAAATTCCATTAAGTAAGAGTCCAAGTGATGCGGGAAAAGTTATCGACAATAGTTAAAAAATAAGAATGAATGTGATGAGTAAGAGTAGCATATTAACCCCAAACATCAATATGAATTAAATCAAAACATTTATTAGTATAGCTGCGACTAATAGGAAAAGATAAGCGAGTTTGTTTGGAAATTGGACAAATATCACATAGGTGCAATTTATTGGAACATCCCAAAATAGGGGTTAATAATTGAAAAACATGAGAAGAGGGGTGGCCAAGACGTGAGTGCCAAGTATCCGGAGAGACGGCTAAAAGGGCTGCGGCGGTTGTGGGCTTGTGACTGAGGAAATGGAGTCCATGTTGTCTACGGCCCCGACTAATCTCCTCCTTCATCAAAAGGTCCTGCAAAACATAATAATCAGGGAAAAAATAATTCTACAATTTAAATCTTTAGATAATTTAGCAACAGACAATAAGTTAAAACGGAAGGTGGGAACATATAAAGCATTTGATAAGAAAAGAGTGGGAGTTAAAGAAATGTGCCCGATTCCGTGAACGGGAGCAACCGCGCCATCTGGGACATAGATAGTACGTTTATCGGATGGTTTGATAAGAGGAGAAGAAAAATAATTAGAATTAAAAGTAACATGATCAGTGACGCTTGTGTCGATAATCCAATCATGAGAGTAATTGGAAAAGGAAGCAAGAGCTAGAGTTGTACCTGCGAGATTAGCTTTTGGTTCATTTACCTCCCTAAGAAGACGAAGCAATTACCGGATTGAATCATTGGAAACGGAAGCTGGAGGATCGGAGCTTGGTTCGGGCAGTGGTA